TGTCCATGATCCATTCTGTTCATGCGCTCGCAGCTCTGCCTTCATCGCCTTCACCCACCCCACCGCATCGTCACCATCCATGGCTTGCTGATACGTCGTTGGTGCATCGTCAGCCTCGCCGACACTGGCAGCATATGCCAGCACTGCCTCAGCGAGCAGTCCATCTTCATCAATGCGCGGTCGCTTGGGCGATGTTGGCCAGAAGTGGCCATCGTCGTCAGGATCACTGTCGGTCCCACGGTGCTCGTCGCTGTTCGTTAATTCCACAATTGCCAATTCGTAATTCGCGGAGCCATCGTTCAGCAGTAGCATCGGTGTCTGTGCTTGGCGAACACGCTCCGTCCTCGGGTAGAACACCATGCTGTCACCGGTCGTCAACTTTGAAGATATTCTGTACGTCGTCAGTTCTCTTGCTCGTCGATGTCTGCTCTGGTTCAACTTTCTGTATCTCTACGTCATAGCCACCGAGTTCCTTCTCAGCAGGCGGCATTGGTTCCTCAATGCTAGGTTCCACCTGTGGCTGCACATCTTCAAGCTGCACTAAATCGTCGATCTTCTTGGTCACATGGACGACTGTCGACTGTATCGTAGATACCGTTGACCTTTCATTCATCCAGTCTCAGCGAACGCGACACCTTGAGCCTGTTTGACTCCAAATCGTACACCCGGTACCCCTTGACGTTCTCGGCGTATCCCAAGAACATACACTTGAAGCTCTTTGCATCCAGCTTCGTACATTTGCTGTCTTCCACAAGAGCATACCCGGTAGAGCCGAACATGCGCAAATGCTCCATGCGCGGCTTCATCTTGAAGCACAGCGCATACGGTGTCATGTTCGCGTGAATACTGTCCGTGGTCCTGTTGATCAGGTACACCATTGTAATCACCGCCTCGCCCACCACAACGAGCTCACACCCTTAAGGTGCAGCATGCTCCGAACCTTCTCCATGATCGTCCGGTTCATTCGCTCGGCAACGCCGTTCTGTTGCGGGCTGTACGGCACAGTCTTCTGATGCACGACCCTGCTGCAATCACAGATCCCATCCAGACCCTTGTTCACAAATCAGTACCATTGTCTTAGCGAGTCATCTTAATTCGCTGACCCCAGTGGTTCTCGTACAGCGCCTTTACGCCTTGAACTTGGTCACCACTTTACTTTTCTTCTTGAGAAAGTACACGACCACAAACCTCGAGTGGTCGTCTACGAAGGTGAGCACGCACTTCGCTCCACCCTTCGACTTCGTCTTCATGGCTCCCATCACGTCCGTGTGTACTAGCTCCAGTACACGTGATGACTTGGTCTGCGTTCTTGAAGGAAAATGTGCCACCGTCTGCTTTCCCTTCATGCAGCCACCGCATAAAGTCTTGACGTCTTGCTTGACAACTGGCATCCCAGTCGTTGCGCGCTGCGTCTTCGCATACGCTTCCTTATTGAGGTGCCATGCGAGCATGTCACAGCTCCCACAGATTCACTGCCCCTTGTACTCGACGAATCGCGCCATTTCCTGCAGACAGTCCAACACGTAAGTCTTGCCGAGTCTCTTCCTCGAGGCAATTGCACTCGACTTGCCCCAGATAACGCACAAATATCGTTGGATCTCGTCGCTCAACCCGCGTCCTGCCAACTTCCCCAGCGACAGCAGTCGGCAATCAAGGCCAGGGTAATATCCGGATGCGCTTGCCGTCGATGCCCTTCAAGCGCATCGACCCGGTTCCCTCCACGCGCAGCTTCTTACCATCAGCGATGGTCACCTCGATGTTCGTGTTCACGACCTCATACTCGAAGAGGTCACCCCGGCACGGCGTCATGTGCGACATCGCACCACTGCCGACCAGCCAGCTTGGCGATCGATCCTTGCCAACAGCGAGTGCAGTATCAGCCATGGCACTGGAGATCACTGAGTCTTCTGACTCATTCACCGGGCTTAATTCGCTGACCGCGAATACTGCACCATCGTCACTGCCGTCGACCTTGTTCGGGCAGTCTCGCTTCATGTGTCCGAACTGATCACAACTAAAGCACTTGACCCGACACCCGCCATTCTTCTTTGCGCAGTTGCTCTTGCGGTCGTTGTTCCTGCCGCGATTGACAAACTTGCCGTTCTTGCCCCTGCCACCATCCAAGGTGACCTTCAACGCGCGCTCCGACGTTTCCTACTTTTCCAGTCGCTCGTACTCCCTGAGCAACTTCTCCTTCACCTCGATCAGCGTGATGCCCTTAAATTTCTCGATTATCGACATGATCATATTGAACTCGCTGGGCAGACTGCTCAGCAATATATAACCAATTGAAGGGCATCGTCCAGTGGTTTGCCGAGCGATTGAAGACCGACGATGAGCTCGTCGAATTTGTCAAGGTGCTTCGCCATCTTCGCCCCTCCCTCCACCTTGAACTGATGGAGTCGGTGGTCCTTCATCACACGGTTGTGCATCGTGGTCTGTTTGTAGAGCTCCCGCAGAGTTTTCCACGCCGGAGTCGCCGTGTCGCCGTCGCCGTGTCGCCGAGCGAATCTTCGTCTGGTGCTCCAGCGACACGCTCTGGGTGATTAAACCGAGCGCCTTCATGTCGCTCAGCGGCCACGCCTCAGTCATCCCTGCTTCCGGCTTCACCGTCTGCATATGAGCCAGCAGTCTCTTTCTCGCCGGCGTCATGCGCTTGGCGAACTCCAGTCGAAGTAGTTGTCGCTTCATAGGTAGACTTCAGCCTTCTTCGTCGACATCGAGGCGGCGTCTTGTAGCTTGAGAGTCTTGTGCGGCTTTAATTTGTTGAGTAGTGGAAGGCAAATGCCAAAGTAAATTAGCTAGCAGCTACACAATCTACCCTACCTACATGTCCGTAGCTACCTTCCTGTCCGCCCTTCTTGTTCCCTGTGCCTCTGCAGCAGCCACCCTCGAGCTTCACCCTGCGACGCCCCTACAAGATGAATGGTCGTGGAAGGAGTTTGGATGTATTCCAATCACATCTAGCACTCACGCCATTATCTCCCAATCAGATCTTGTCATACGTGAATCGCCGATCCCAGTAATCATTCAGTTGTTCGACAAGCGCATGCCTCTCTAAACGAGTCATCATAGGGCCTTGAAAGCGTTCAGGCAAACACCCTCCCTACCCATTGGCCTGAGGATTTGATATATATTAGATACACTGCAAAGGGGCCTATTGATAGACTGTATGTAAACTGGTCTCAATATCGATATACTACTAGTATCAGCTTTCATTTGTGATAAAAAAATGTCCAAAGGGTTAATGCTGAGCTACTTGTTGCCATTCTTCATTGCCTTATTCGATAACCACTTGACTCCAACTTTCTTGAATCTTGCGTTGGAACTATACACAACCCGAGCATACATGCAATCAATGAGATCATCTTCTGAACGCAACGCTCACAATTATCGTGGGCATCACTCTGTGGACGATTGGCGTTCTTCTCTTCTTTTGAATTGGATAAAAATTGCCGCCTTGCCCTTCTTTAGATTACCTAATGTCAGCTTGACCTTGTATTAAACTTTGGTCAACGACCTGTACGGTGCGCACATAGGCATCGCAAACAACACGATGTCGTTCGGCCTCGGTTCTTCTGTGAAGGCATCAAAGCAATCAAAATTTTCTGCTTCAGCTTCCAGCTCGTCCAGAAAAATTTTCTTCTTTTCGCGCTGCTGACGAACATATCTCTTACTCGCTTCCATCTCCGCATCGTCATTACTTTCTTCAATAGCTGCTAATTTCTTTTGCCTCAATCTCGCCTTCTTGCTCAACAACGTGACCCAATGCTTCCATACGTAAGTGATGATCTTCGTCATCCTGGTCAGCGGATTTTTTCTTTATTTTCTTTATTCTGCCTTTCTTACCACGTACATTATTCGTCTACACCGTCATAACAATGGACTTCTCTGCTCCCATCTCTAGTTTGACGGAATAATCCTTAATGCCATCGTGAGTTTTGCCCTTCTTCAAGTCACGACGCTCTTTTGCAGACAGTTGTTTCTTTCCTTCACGTTCGGTCTGCTGTGTGTAAGCTGCGTCTTCATCAGGCCTTTCATTTTTTTCGAAGTTATCAATTACGTTTTTGTTTAGAGTTGGTTGCAAAATTACTGTGCTCTTATCGGTCATCAACATCGTCGCTTCTGTAGATATCTTCTCAGAATAAACATCTTTGCCTCCTTTTTTCCTGTCTTCTTCGTCGACACCGTCCGACGTAAGCAGCGCGCTGTCTTTGACTTGTCGAGAGTGATTGTTGACGCAGCTCTCATCAATACGAAATAGAACTGCCAGGCCGACCTCAAGCCTTGACGGCTGAATAAAATGTTTCTTATCTCGTACTATGAAGCTACCCGTTGTTAGGTACTTCCCCGTTGGAGCTGTCTCTGAGACCTGGTCTGCGTGTGTCCAGTACGCACCAGCAATAATCTGATTTGGCCAAGCGCTACTGCGGCATACGCTTAACACCCTGTCTGCTCCAGAGTAGCCACAGGAATCAGTAAGACGTCTCGAGTCTTCTTATTC